TAAAAGAATACACAGAGACGAAAGTACAGTTTTATAAAGTATAGAATTTATAAAAGATGGGGGACTGGGAGACTCCCGGCATTCCTGTGAGCTGTGATGTGTCGAATAAAGTTTCCCATCAATATTTATTGGTACAGTGATAGGTTGCCAGGGGTAACAGATTTACATAATAACAGGTAATTAGTTTTAGGTTAAAAGTCTCCCACAAAGCTTCTAGAGATTCCTTATTTAACTCTCTCTAGATGAGCAAACGGTTACAAAATCTTTCTAAGACAAAGTTCTAAGATAAAGCTATCACTTAGCAGAAAAGTTAAACAGAAATATAGTGGCTCTATATTTCTTGATCTAATTTTAGTGGATTGAGACAGGTAGCCAGGAGTAAAGCAGGAACTGTCTCTTAGGCTAATTGCTTTCAGCAGCAGGTGTCTGTCTGTCGTGCTTGCACTCTTTGATCTGTTCTCATCCCATGGCTCCATGCAAACCTGCTCTGTTGTACAAAACAGGGAAAACTGACAGGTCTGAGACAGCCAGCATCACCATGGAAAGCGCTGCTGATCTGTGACATACCCCTCTGTGGCGAGGCAGCTTTTGGCATGCACATTCACATATTCCTTCAGGGCAAAGCCCCGAAAAACTCCTAAAATCATTTCTGTATCTACAGGGCAAGAATTCTATAGAGCAATATTAATCTATGGGGCAACAGGGGGTCCCATTATTGACTGAGCACATGTCCCCAGTCTACACAGGACAGGCTCAACGTACACCTGTTTTTCCTGCATAATTCGGAAATACGTCAGTTTACACTTTAGATGACAGGATTGCTCTAAACAGAGCCTTTACAGGGCCCTCTCTCTTTTGAGATTGAAGAAAGGAGAATCGGTGGGAAGGTTTAATATTTATTATTTCATGGTATCTTCAGTAAAATATGAAGGGATTGAAGTTCTCCCAAGTTGCCCTTTGTTAATCTTCTGCCCTGTCCCTGCCAGCCAACAGGTACCAAACCACTTGACCTTCCACCATTCCATACCGTCTTGCCCAAAACTTTGGGAGAATCATGTTTCTTCTTTCTAAGCTATGTATTTGTCTTCCAGAACATCCAAAGAATAATTCATTAGATTAATTACTCAAAGCTCTTGTATACAGGGGAGAAGACCCTTCCCCATTTCTGCTGCCCTGCCTTTTCATCCAATCTGCCCCATTAGAGTTGTAACACCACACCACTGCTTCTCTCTGGTCACTGGAATAACTTAAAAGTGGGAACATCAACTCTGTGGCAAGCAGCTAGTGGGTTTCATGACAGCTCCTAACCCCAAGAGTGTGTTCCTACTTACTCTTTCAAGGTGACAATCTTGCCTTTCTCTGCTTCCTGCCTCAGGTTTCTCACCAACACATCTGCATACCGGCTCATGATGGGGAACATCTAAGCACAAAACACAACACCACACATAGTTAAATGTGTAGACTCAAGTCCCAGAAGGACATGGCTTTCCCTAGCATGGAGTAGTAAGTGATATTTTATAATGAACTCTGTAATACCTCTTCTGGACATAAAGATAAAAGGCCACTTTTAGGAAGCTCAACCTTAGTGGACTACCTCCCGGATAGGGACCATAATGTTACTTTCTCCCTGATCCCAGATTCATACATTCAGTTTCTAAGTAGAAGTCCTTGTATTTTCTTACCTCCTTCAGTTTTCCGCTGGTGAAGGTTGGAGACAGCAACGCTCGCATTCTCTTCCATTCCTCATCTTCAGATATAGAGATGGCACTTTTCATAAATCCCACTGGACCTAAAGACTGGAGTTCAAATCAAAAACATTTTGTCTTTTATACGTTTTGTAGATCTCCACAGATGTAAAAATGTGTTAAATAGACATCACTTGTTTAACAAATATTAAGTGACTGTCTCCCAGGTGGCAGGCCCCATGATAGGTGCTCAATGTATTATAGATTTATCCCAATGCCTACCCTCCTCTGAGCCTCTGTGTGTGTATGTGTGTGTGTGTGTGTGTGTGTGTGTGTGTGTGTGTGTGTGTGCATGTTTGTGTGTGTCTGAGGTCACAGAGCCACCTGGTGTGGTTTCCGGCCTCTACAACTGAGTCTCCTTTTAAATGGAAATGACCCGCTGGTCAAAAGGGGAACCTTTTCTTCCAGGGTAATAGAGAGAACAAGATCTATACCTCTTCCAGCAATGTACAGGGAAGAAAGGGACTGGTGACACTTCACAAGGTGGCCTTGGCAGACAGTGGGTTTCGTGAGACTACTTCTATCTTTACTTACAGCATAGCATGAACAACTTGAAAAAGGAATACCTTGAGGTAGTAATTTTTTAAAAATTGTAGATAATACATAAAAGATTATGAATCTATTTAGAAGAAATAATACAATTGCTTGAAAGTCCTTTTCTCTTAATTTTTTTCACAGGGATAGAGGAAAAAGAAAGAGATGATTCCATTTCCTAATTTGGGAATTTCTAGAAGACCTCTGGAAAAAGAAATAAAGTGGTACGTGTGAATCCTCATGCTGTTCAGACTTATTGTACAGCTACTGTAGTCAAGACAGTGTGGTACTGGGATACACAGTGATCAATGGAACAAAATAGAGAATGAGAAATAGACACACACAAAGAGGCCCAACTGATTTTTGACAAATGTCCAAAAAGCAATTCAATGGAGGGAGTCAGCCTTTCCAAAATGGTGTTGGAACAATTGGGCAGCCATAGGCCACAAGAAATGGACCTTGACCTAAACCTCATGCTTTATACAAAAATTTACAGAAAATGGATCATAGACATAACTGTAAAGCATGCAACTATATAACCTTTAGAAAAAACAACAGCAATATAGGACGGCTGGGGAAGAATTTTCAGACTTGACACCAAAAGCACCATCCATAAAACGAAAAGTTGATGAACTGGCCTACTCAAAGTTAAAAAAAGTTTGCTCTGATACAAGCCCTGTTAAGAGAAAAAGACAAGATACATGTCATGACTGCAGAAGTACAGCAGGAGGAAGCCTCATGGTGATAGAACAGTTCTGTGTCTTCATCATGCCGGTAGTTACACAAATCTGTGAATGTGATAAATTTGCATAGAGCTAGACACACACACACATCCACAAAAATGAGGACACATAACACTGACGAAATCTGAAAAAGCTCTGTGGATAATATCAGTGTCAATTTCCTGTAACTATAGTGATAGGAATATACTAGATTTATACTGATGCAAAAAGTTACCATTGAGGGAAACAGGATGAAGTGTACATGGAAACTCCTTGTTCCTTTTCTTGACAATTTCCTATGAATTTATCAGTATTTCAAAATAAAAATTTAATAAATAAAAAAATAAAGATATAAAGTTAAAACCTGGATGCCTACCCGCCGGTTTGTGAAGACAGAATGACATTCTTTCACTAGCACTGTTTTGATCATGTCGGGATCCGTGATACCCAAAACAGGCCATCGACCATCATACACCCTGTGTCAAGAAAACAGAGCTGATTAAACTCTACAAGCCTAATTCTGCAGCTGGAGCCACACCCAGGGATCCAGACTTTGATCCTCACATTATATAACTATGCCCCAGTTGTACAATACACAGCAACATTAGGTCCTAGTTCTAGTTAGGGTAGGACACACGGCAAGGTTCTCACCACAGAAGCCACTGGAGTCTTCATAGAATGAAGGGAAATGTGGCTCAACGGGGGAAGACACATTTAAATACAAAATACCTCTTCTATAAGACCATAGTTAGAAATAACAGGAAATCTTTTGTTATGAGGTACTAAGGAAGAGGTGAAACCTCCCACTTGCTTGCAGCATACACAAGATTGCACCTCTTCTGTGGCTCTCACCAAACCCCCAGCAGCTTTCAAAAGGGAAGAGCTGCTGTAGTTGGGTGGAGGCCACCCTCAAAATCATAGAGTCCCTTAGCCCCCTGGGAACACAGTGGTTTAATATATTCTGTATCTCTTCTTCAAAGTCAATAGAATCGAGTAGACAAAGAAAAACGTGAACATACTTCTCTTGAAAAATCTTCACATAAATTTAAAAAAACACAAAAGAAATCTCCACACTTGCAGAGAAAGGGGGAAAAAAACAGATTATAAATGATTTCCCAATCTGTTCATATCTATCTCCCAGCTCTTCTTTCAAAAGCACATATTATTTTGGTTGTTGCTGTGATTGCCTTTGGGGTCTTCTTCATAAATTCTTTGCCTAGGCCAATGTCTAGAAGAGTATTTCCAACATCCAAATCAAAACCACAATGAGATATCACTTATCTCCAGTGAGACTGGCCTTTATCAAGAGGTCTCAAAACAATAAATGTTGGCGTGGATGAGGAGAGATAGGAACACTCATACACTGCTGGTGGGACTGCAAACTAGTGCAACCTCTGAGGAAAGCAATATGGAGATACCTTAAAGAGATACAAGT